AAACAAGCCGGTGCTGGAGCACCACTGCTCCTGGAGGCCACGGCCGGCCAACTGGCAGCGCTGCAACATCACCCCCTGTGAAAACAGTACGTTGCTGGGGCAGGGGGTGCTGGGGTGCGGGGTGAGGAGAGGAGGCACAGCAGTCTGTCAGAAGTGCAGCTCTGGACCTTGCAGCTGGGCATCCCGGGGAGCCTTCAACCTGAACATGCGCCAAGTGTGGTGTCCAAAACTCAGTGCCCCAGGAAGAATGGTTCCTCTTGGGATTTGTTGGTAATTACATTAGCTGGGATGGTGTCCCCTCGCTAATAGTGTGTGAAACAGCTGATGCGGTCTTTACTTTCCATTAATGGTATAGATAGGAAGAAAAATGTGAATCACAGACTGCTGGCTACGATTATAATACACTAAGTCTAAATTGAATGAGTGGGTTGATGATAGGAATTCCTGAAGTGGAGGCTGCTTGCTTTCAGGTTACAAGCAACTAATTGGGCCAGCCAATGGACTAGGGAAGTTTCAAATACTTACCAAAAAAAAAAAAAAAAAAAAAAAGAAAGAAAAAATTGTATTCCTCTTTGGAAATGATTCCCCACTATGGAAATGTCTGCATGGGAAACATCAGGCTGCAAAAGTTTAAATCACTATCTTTTCTTTTGCCTCAGCTCTCACTTGACATGCAGATTTTGATGGGCAGATCCCATCCACTAGCACACAAGAGCGTTTCTGTGCAATCATTGCAGAAGCAGCAGCAGAACCTGTCTATGCTTGCCTACAGCTGTGCCAACTCTGACACTCTCTCTTGGTAGATGCAAAGCAGACTTCATAGGTCCAAACCCATGAGCCATGTTCAGAGTGCCCTAGTAGAAGTGAAAGGGTTGAGGGAGCTTACAGGTACCAAGCAAGACTTTTGCCATCCCTCCACCTCTTCCTGCCATATAGAAGTGTCCCATGTCTAGACAACAGTGGAGTTATTTGGCACAGATATTACTGGAGAGGGCAGTACTACTGCTCTGTGAGGATTCCCTTTCCAGCCTTAGGGTGGGAAGTAGGAGCCTCTCAAGCCGCAACACATCCAAGATCTTGCAGGAATACTGGACAGTTTTCCTTCTGGAGCGCAAAAGCAGGAGGCTGTGGGCTGTTAAAACTGTCCAAAAGATACCAGGACTTAAGTACTAGGGAAGTTCTAAAAGTGTCTTCTTACTTTTCACCCCAGACTGTTCTGCAGCACACATGTGAAAAGCAGAACACAGAACCACATTGCTGAATTGGCTCTCTCACACGCTCTCCCTTCAACACAAAAGGTTGGCCAAAGTGCCTTCAAGCCACTCTGTTGAAATAACTTCCTAGTTTTATTTACTACTTCATCTTTGATTTAACAACTGTTATGAAACTCTTAGACCCTGCCTAAAATTCTAGAAGATGACAATCTGACAGTGGTGAAGCACCCTCAGAAGCCTCATCCCCAGGCTCTGAAAGCAAATTCTGCCCCACCACATTTTTCCTTTGAGCCTTTGCCTTCCTGAAGTTCCCACTCACACTCTGGATCAAGTGAAGCTCATGCTTGTAGTAAGGTCACCCAACCAAAACTGTCCTGGTCTCCCTCTAGGGCACCACATTAAATGTTGTCAGGTTAGAAATTCTTTTTTCTTTGCTTCATCACCATTTTTATTTCTCCTTTGGCAGTGGAGTGCAGAGACACCACAAGGTACTGTGAGAAAGTGAAGCAGCTCAAACTCTGCCAGCTCACCCAGTTCAAGTCACGCTGCTGTGGGACTTGTGGAAAAGCTTGAGGGCAAGAGCAGTGAAAATGGAGGAACAAGGGGATCACAGCCTGTGCTTCAATGAGGCAAGGACTTTTACAGACAATAGAAATGGAATGGAATTCTTTTTTTCATTTTATTTATTTATTTCCCTTTTTTTTTTTTTTTTTTTTAAAGAAAACCTTTTACCAAATGATTGTTGTAAAGGGACTTGTCAAGTTTTCCCTTCTATGAATGTGGGAGACAGAACACAGCAAAACATGGTGATGAGGGTAAACTGCAAAGAGTCAGGGAGACCCATATCACCAGCATGGGCCTGAGAGAAGTACAGCTGCCCGATAATCCATGTACATGCCTGGGGACAAACCAACAGACAGATGGGGAAGTGGATCTGAGATAAAGTCTATCATTATGTTGGACCACCATAATATGAAACAAATAACCATACATTCAGCTATGCAGTATACCAGTAATTCATCTATCTTAGACTACTTTGAGAATATAAGCATATGATTTTGCTTTATAAACCTATTTGTTACATCTATTACTAGTTTCCTTTTTTTTTTTCTTTCTAAGCTCTTCTCTCCTTCTTACACCAGGCCTTAAATTTTTTTCAGTGTGAGATCTTTGTGATCTTTGAGGCCTTGGTGCCAGGAGAAGCTGAACAATGGTATGTATGTAAAGTGAGTGAGTCTAAAGCGAACCTGAAAGTGTTACCAGGTTGTGCTTGTGAATGAGAACAGGGGATAAGAAGGTTGCTCTTAGCACAGAGATGAGGTGATGATGTCAATTGTTACCCAGGAGAAGAAGAAAAAATAAGATCTGCTATTGACAGACTGTAGTATGAGAATGCAAATGCTGTCCTGTAGAGAGCACAAGGAGGAAAAATAGTAGTTGTCTGTGGTAAGAGGAGCTACCTCACAAACTCCATTCTATTCAGAAAAAAAGTGAGTACCGGTCTGCAGAGTTCAGGTGCTTTCAGACGTAGGGTTTTGGAAAGTAACTTGAGGAAGTGGGTTTTAAATCCTCTTAATGTGAACTTTCTCCTGGCAGTCAAGCTTTTTGGACAAGTAGTAGAAAAGATCTGTGATCTCATTTCTTGAGGTTATTCCTTAAGAAACAGAATGGATTCAGCCTCAGCCCCAGAGGGCTAAAGCAAATTATTTTTAACAAACTTGCTCATCTCTACTTGTCTCCCACAACAAAAGAGGTGCTATAAAGCAGAGCATTTTTAAGCCCATGAATAATGCTCTGAAGATAGGATGTAAAAGGTGATGATCAAACACTATACCCACAGCATTGTTTTGTATGCCATCTGTGAGTCTTTTTCCCTGGCCAGCTGCAGTGGTTATTCAGCCAGCAAAGACCTTTGTCCTTTCAGTTCCTGGACACTCACTGCTTTGCTCAGAATATGGCCCCAAAATTAAAGAAAATGTGCAAAGTAGAGAATCTGAGCATCGTGAATTTTTAAAGGAGAGCTGTCTGGATCTGAGGTTTTGGTTCAAGATTATCTCTAAATTAAAAGCTTGGCTGTGCCTTTCTGGTCACTCCCAGTGGGGCTCATGCCTTGTGGTTTGTTAATTAAATGCTTATCCAGGGGTGCTGTGTTACAGCTACTGTGACATGGATTTTTTCAGCAAAACTGTGAGTTCACTTTTAAGGTCAGTGCTAGGTTCATGACATTAAACTGTCTCAAGTTGGATTATTTCAAAACACATATGACAGTGAACACACTTACTACAAATGGGTCTTCAAAAAATAGTGTTTGCTGATCATCAGTGTAACTTTTTATTAAAAAAAAAAAAAAAGTCTTTGTATGAAAATGTATATCTTTTATGTATATTTATTAGGATTTCTTGTACAAAAAGTGCAATATTAATAATTGTACATTACTTCGTCCAGATAAAATTGTTTCAGGGTTTTTATAAATCTCCCCAGAATTTTGTTCCTCTAAAATCAACAGTAATAGTGTATTTCTCTTAATTCTAATAGCATTAGCATTAACTGGTGACCTGCTTCACTGTACACAAAGTGCTTTATAGACTATGACATAAGGGAGGGATGATGTTTTTAACTTGTGGAATTATAATTATGCACAGAATGAAGGACAATTCCTTAACAACAACAATAATGATGATGATGATGATGTGGTGGATATTCCTAGTGCAGTCGTTAACAAAAAGCAGCAAAGGGAAGTATTTTATTTGTTTAATAGCAAAACATACTTAGATGATCACATGTTAAATAGTAGCTGTTAAATAGATCTGGAGAGGACACTGTGTTGTCTGTGCACAGTGTGGATTTAATTTCACATGACTGTCCTCTGAATTGTGACTTGGCAGAATCTCAGTTAAGATAAGGATTGCTGCATATTTTATGAAAGGATGTTTTTTTCTCTACAAAGAAGACAACACAAACTTGTATTTATACAACTTTTTGTACAAGTAATGCAGGTTATTTATTTAGCTACTGCTGTCTGACATGTTATTTACCAACCTTAAAACCAAAAGCCAAACAAAGTAGCAAAGATGTTGGAGTACTCTGTCCTTATTCTTATTATGTATTATAGCTAACAGCACACAGCTGTTACACAAAGCACCCATTATCTACCTGCCTTGGGGAAAGAGGATTTATTCATCTCTTGTTTCTAAGTCTCCAACCATTAAGATTCTGCACCATGTCTTTGTGATCTGCTGTCTTGCCTCTATCACTCTTGAAAGTATAAAGCCACCAGTGTTGGTGGTAGAGTCATAGAAATCAGTAAAAGTATACTTCCTTTTTTTCCTTTTAAGCAGCAATGCTTAAAGACATCTTGTGAGTTTCCTCAGCAAACTACAGCACTTTTACTTCAGTCTGTCCTTTTAGGACACTACCGATTTCAGTAATGGAGCTTACAACTCCTTGAAACATTAAGTATATGTGTAAAATTAATCTTGCTAATCTTGCTAATCATCAGAATTACAGAGGGAAGGGGAAAGAAGAAACAAAATTAATAAAGCAAAAGAGCTTTCTCTTAAGAAAGACAAAATCAGCTTTTGAAAACAAAGCTTGTTCTGCTCTTGCACTTTTCCAACAGATGATACAATGTCTCTTCTAAAAGGGAACAGTGATATTTCTCTGATTTACTGACGATTTTGCTAGCAGTTTGCATTTTAGATACCTACACTGCAAGTAAATATTACTGGAAAAATAATACATAAACATGCACAGAGATGCGAGCTGAAGACCACACTTTAAAACTTCTAAACAGCAGTACTGAAGACAATGGGAATTTGGTCATTCATTTTGTGTAAAACAAATATAGAGGCTGGTGTTGACGTGAAAAGAGCAGCAGGCCAGCTTTGGTTCTCAAGAGAATAATTATTCTCTTTTTATGCATATGGTTACAGTTACCAGTCAAGTCAAACACCTTCAAAGCATTAAAATCAAGCTTCCTGTTTTGTCCTCCCAACTAATTTTCCTCAAAGAAAAAGAAAAAAAAATCTGCAACAAGAGTAAAAATGCTGTGCTGAAAGGTTTCCCACAGGGGAGCTGGTCCTACCCCCTCTTATGTGGCAAGATAAGCACAGATAAATGGCTCCATGAGTGCAGCATGTCTGTACACACACTCTTAAAACCATATAAGCCATAGGCAGAGTTTTCCAAAGTAACGTTTATCTGGACATTTTTTTCCTATCTGGTTACAGTCATACAGACTACAATTGAAGCTGTATTTCAAGTTACGAACCTTTTTGCAAGTTACCTTATGAAATAAAAAAGCTAATTATTATCTTACTAGCTGTTCAGTGTCCAAACACTGATTCATAAACACATTTCATTATTCTATATTAGCATAAGCTGACACCTCTCTGTAGAAAAAAGGTGAGCCAAGAGCTTACTCTTTTCCAGATTTCAGGACCATAGAAGCCCTTATAATTTCCTAATGGCAGCTGTCAGCCAGTCACTGATAATTTCAGCTAGTAATTGAAGGAATTAAGTTCAGTCACTGAATTATCTAATTTTAACACAGAAGCTTTGAAACTGCTTTGAATGTCAGATTTTCTCACAGACTACCTATGTACACAGATAAGAAGCTCAGAACTACTAACGCTAACTAGGGCTCTGCATATTAGCTGCAGACCACAGTTTGGGAATCATTGGTTTAACCATTCTCTTCATCCTCTTGCTTAAAGGTATATGTATCTTTATTGATGTTTTTATGTACCTGTCATGTGATGTCAGACTCAGATTTATCTCCTCTGTCTATGAAAACTAAAAAAGGTATCAAATACTTTAATTTGCAAAATATTGAGGGAAGGGACAATCAGCGATCCTTTTTCTATTGATCCTACACATTTCTTACACTAAAAACATATTGGTTAATCACCATTTTCACCTACCCTGCTTTTCATCATCTACACCCAGCATCTTCTCTCCAGTCAATCAGAATAAAACCTAAAACCTGGTCATATACATAATTATTTTAATCAATTTTTTTTATACAGTTGTCACTGAAGTATTTTAATTACATGCAACCCAACATCCTTCTTATTCAAATTTATAAAGGGAAAATCCATGTCTCAACATTTCCTCTTCTGATTACAATACTTATTTCTATCCTCTCCTGCCTTTTCTCTGAGATATGATTAAATTGCTCCCATTCTCAGCTTCAGACATGAAGACAATATTATTATCTTCAGTAATACTATTCAATATCATTGAACACAATAAATTTTAGTCTTCATCTGCCTCTCTGAGAAGCAGACACACTGCTAAGCCTCATCTTTCATTCAGTGATCACTTGTAAAGACTGAAAGTCCATGAAGTCACAGGCTCCAGTACTTATTTTTTCTCTCTCTCTTTTGTTTTTCTCCTTTTTTTCTTTTTTTCAGAATGGTTACAAAACCTGGAACAACCCCTACTGAGCCATCCAATGCATTTTAGGTAGCTGAGATAGCAATTCTGAGAGTACACAAGTGCCTAACGTTAAGGTATCACAACTGGGTCCACTTGAAAGATTTACTTCAAATGAAAAATGAAACTAACAAAGC